TTCCATAAAATTCCTAATTTTAATACAATTAAAGCCAAAATTAGTCCTTTCACGAAGGTCTTAAAAAAAAAAAAAAAAAAAAAAAATAAATTATAAAGTAAAAGATAGTTTTTGTGTAATATATATGTAATGTATTACATTTATACAAAAATTATAAACATATTTTAATATGTACAGATGTAGATGAGATTATAATAGTTTTTCTTTATAATATTTTTTTTGAAAATGTAGAAAAGAAGTTGAGGTTTAGTATATATTTTACAACAACCAAATAATTACTTTGCATAATAGGACATGTACCAGGTAGGCCTCAAGGGGGCCGCCATGGCATGGTGTTTGCCTTCAGAGCAGCAATTCAGTCTTCACCAGTCACTGCTCACCCTCCACCTACTTCTACTCTAGCACCCACGCTCATTATAGGTGATTACTGCAGGCTTATCATTTGATGTTTAGATCCATTAATTTCTTTTTAAATAATTTTTATTCTATAAAGTTATGTGTGAAAATTTTCATTAATTCTCATCTAGTTAAAAGAAAGAAAATAGCATTAAATATTACTTTGCATTATTATAGTAAAATAGTTTACTAAAATAGGTTTCATATATAGAATAAATATGACATGGTAAGTGAAAAATGAGCAATGATTTTTATTTGAAGAAAATAGTTAGCATATTTTCTTTCATATTTGACATAATTTTTTGTTTTATTTTTTAATATAATCATTAATGTTCATAATTCATTTTCATAGTGATTTATACCTTCAAAGAATATCAGTGTCTTTATGTTAATCATTCACGTATTATGGTAGTATGTTCTGTTGATATTGTAAAGTATTGTAGAAACTATATTCCAGAATTAACAGATGATTCAAGGTTATACATTGTGAATCAGTTCACTTCTTCTGGAAAAATTGATTCACAGTATATAAGGTTGTTTAGCAATGTGTTTTTCAGCCTAAAAACGCTGTTGACACATACATACATACTGCTTTTAATCTTTTTTAAATAAATTTCTTTATGTATTAAATTGTTTTATTATTACAGGCAATGCACCAATAGTTCCAGGTTCGCCAAAGTCTGTGACAACAACTGTTACAAGTCCAGTGATAGAAAAATCTACAGTATCTACATCTATTACAACTATTACTACAATGACTACTCCTACTCTTACTTTTACTGGAACAACAACAACAACTACTGCTACTGTTACTACTGTTACTACTGTTACAAAAACTTCTTCTGCGCCTACTACACCTACTCAGCCTGTTGTTAAACTTGTTAAATTACCTGCCTCTAATGTAGCTACATCTTGTGATATCACAAATAATCAAGAACAAATAGTAGAAAAAGCAAAACAGGTAAAATAAATTTTTTATCTGATTATACATTGCATGTAATCATGTAATATTTGATAAACTATAATTATCTTAAATTACATAAAATATTTACAGGAGGCATACGTTATGCAAAGGATTGCAGAATTACAACGGGAAGGATTATGGTCAGAAAGAAGGTTGCCTAAGGTGCAAGAACCACCTCGTACAAAAGCTCATTGGGATTATTTATTGGAAGAAATGGTTTGGTTAGCTGCTGACTTCGCTCAAGAACGAAAATGGAAGAAAGCTGCAGCAAAGAAGTGTGCGCGTATGGTACAGAAATATTTCCAAGAAAAAGCAATCCAAGCACAAAAAGCTGAAAAATCACAAGAACTTAGGTTAAAGAAAATTGCTAGCTTTATTGCTAAAGAAATCAAAACTTTCTGGACAAATGTGGAAAAGGTACGAGTTTGTAAATTATAATATGTAATAATGATTTTACCCCACACAATTAAGCCGACAATTTCAATGTGTTCCAATTGGAACTGTGTGCTCGTTGTGGGAACAGCAAAGTCTGCTAATGGTGTATGATTATATTTGTTATTACGGTATAATCAAAGAATTGACGCAGGACATTTATTTTTATAGCACGTAATGAATATACATCATGCATATTTCATTTTTATATTCTCTTTTTAAGTTGGTGGAATATAAGCAACAAACGAGGCTTGAAGAAAAGAGAAAGCAGGCATTAGATCAACATTTAAATTTTATTGTGGGTCAAACAGAGAAATATTCAACCTGGTTAACTGAAGGACTTAATAAAACTGATGGTCCTCAAAGTATATCAGCCTCTATGAATAGCTCACGTATTTCTTCTCCAGTACCACCTGGGAAATCTCATTCTGATGGTTTGTTAAATTCATTTTATCAAATTTATCATGTTTTAATTATGTTAATATTTTTAATATTTTTAATATAGAGGATTTTCAACCAAACCAAAGTTCAGATGATGATGAAGAAACTATAGCAAAAGCTGAAGAAGAATTAAAGTCTGTGACAAATCATAAAGAAGAAGTTGAATTGTTGAAAAAAGAGTCAGAACTGCCCTTAGAAGATCTTCTTAAAGAACTACCACCTGACTACTTAGAAAATAGAAATAAAAGTCTGTCACCTGCATCAAAAGAAGTAGAAGAAGTATGTAAAGTAACTTCAGATCAAAGATTTTAATGACTATTTTTTAATCATAGTAAATTATTTGTTGTGTATACATTTCAATAGGAGAACGAAAAGCCAACAGATGGAGATACGGATTTTGTTGCTGCATCAGATGAATCTTCCGATGAGGAGGAAACTATTACGGAACAAGAAAAATTGGAAGAAAATACGGATTATAAACAAGAATTAGACGATCTTAAAGTATGTGTATTTTTTAGCTATTATGGTGAAGTTATGGATTTTTTCTGTAATATAAAAGTTTAATACTTTAGGCTGAAAATGAAATGTCCATTGATGAACTCATGTCCAAATATGGTAACATGTCAGATGTGCCAATGGATGTTGAACAAGAACCTGTTCAAGGTAAATATTATTGAAGTTAATTTTTTCCACCTAATATTTATTCATTAATGATGATATTCTACCGACCCTGATGGTTTTAAGAAATGGTTCTCATTTTTAATTCCTTCTTCTGATGTGACTCGAGGCATTTGTCTGAAAGCTAAAATTTTGTACAATAATTTAATAAACATGAAAACTTGTACTAAACATATATTTATTTGTGTAGAGTCGGATAAAGAAAGCATAAAAGAAGAAGAAAATCAAGAGAATGATGAGGAATTTACAAGTAATGAAAGTGAAAGTGAAGAAAGTGACAATGAAATTGGAGAAGAGGAGTCTCAAACACAAACTGATAATGAAACTGATATTGGACTAAAATCTCTATTGGAAGATGTATCTATGGAAAAATCATCAGACGATAAAGTAAGATATACTTGTATGATAAAATATATAAAAATAAATAAAATATATAACAAAATAATTTATTTTATTATTAATATATAACAAAATAAATAATTCACCTTGTATAGACTGCAGAAATGGATCATTCAGATGCTCACAATGAAATGGATAACGTAGCGGCATTGGCAGAAAGTATCCAACCTAAAGGAAATACTTTACTTACTACTAGTGTACGTGTTATTTATATTTTTTTAATAGTTGCATTAGTTATTCAGCCTTTTATCCAAAGTTGTGTTACAATATTTTGCACATGACTATTTTCGAAGGCTAAAGCATAAGTGATATTTTTTTTTTATTATAAGTAAATTGATTCATCGATTTATTTTAAAGAATTGTCACGACATTTTTTTATAAATTATTAATAAAATTAAAATAAAATTTCCGATTTCCTAACAAAATTAATTAAATTTTAGGTTGTTACAAAAATTCCATTTCTTCTGAAACATCCTCTTCGAGAATATCAACATATAGGATTGGACTGGCTTGTCACTATGTATGATAGGAAATTAAATGGTATTTTGGCAGATGAAATGGGTTTGGGTAAAACCATACAAACGATTGCGTTACTCGCGCATTTAGCGTGTGAAAAAGGAAACTGGGGTCCTCATCTCATAATAGTACCAACATCTGTGATGCTCAACTGGGAAATGGAATGTAAGAAATGGTGTCCCGGATTTAAAATTTTGACGTATTATGGAACACAAAAAGAAAGGAAACAAAAAAGAACAGGTATTAATTTATCTTTGAACTGAAATGTTAGTGAAAGTAATAAGTAATTTGTGAAATGTTTTATTTATTTTTAGGTTGGACTAAACCTAATGCTTTTCATATTTGCATAACATCATATAAATTGGTTATACAGGACCATCAAAGTTTTAGAAGAAAAAAGTGGAAGTATCTTATATTGGACGAAGCTCAAAATATAAAAAATTTCAAATCGCAAAGGTGGCAATTATTATTGAATTTTCAAACGCAACGGTAAATATTTATACTGTTATATTTGAGTAATATATTTCATAAATATCGTTTTAATTTATACGGGAAACTTATGTATAAAAATTCTTATTATACAGACGATTATTACTTACTGGAACACCTCTTCAGAATAATTTGATGGAATTGTGGTCATTAATGCATTTTTTAATGCCAAATGTATTTCAGTCACATAGAGAATTTAAAGAATGGTTTAGTAATCCTGTTACTGGAATGATAGAAGGGAACAGCGAATACAATGAAAATATTATTCGTCGTCTGCATAAGGTTTGTACGTAATTTGTTTTTGTATATTTTGTTTTATTGTGTGTAATCATTCGCTACCGACACAGATATATGATTATGAATCACATGTCTGTTTTATATAAATAGCGAAATATTGAAATTCTCTGTTAAAACTCGCGTGTCGTAAAGTATTGATTTGACATACGAATCCTGTCTGGAGAAACAACTGCTACAATTTTTGTATTATTTTTCTCTCCAGATATATGTATCTTTTTTATATGTTATTTATATAGCAATTATATTGATTGTAGGTTTTACGGCCTTTTTTATTACGAAGATTAAAAACAGAAGTAGAAAAACAATTGCCCAAAAAATATGAGCATGTACTAATGTGCCGTTTGTCAAAACGACAGCGATACCTTTATGATGATTTTATGTCAAGAGCAAAGTAAGCATTGCATATTTTTTATTCTTTTATATCATAAAAATTTATGTATATAAATATACATGATTGTCTTTTATTCAGAACAAAGGAGACTCTAGCTAGTGGCAATTTATTAAGTGTCATTAATGTATTAATGCAATTAAGGAAAGTATGCAATCACCCAAATTTATTTGAAGTGAGACCTACTGTATCACCATTTCAAATGGAAGCTATTGAATATATTACTGCTTCGTTAATATGGAGTGCTCTTGATTATGATCCATTTAAGGTAAAATATATATAATTCTTTTTTATTATGCTCTTAGAGATTTAAAGAAAAGTGTAATGTATTTATTTTTTATTTTATAGCATATCGATCTATCTAGTATTAATCTTTTATTGTGTGATCTGGAATTAACTCTTACTGCGTTTGTGGCGCATAGAATCAGACGATTGCAAACAACACGAAAGCTTATAGAAGAAATAGATACACAACCAGACCCATCTCCGAGATGTCCATCTGGAAAGATTAAAATTAATGTTAGGTTATCTAATCAAGTTAAACCGTTATCCGTTCCACGGCAGACACAAACTAAACTAAAGAATTTAGCTGGAATATTACCTACTCCAAAAGTTGGAACATCTCCTTTAATAAAAACTGCAAATAATCAAAGCACTCCAGGACAAGGTAAGAATTATTTTATAAGTGTTTGACATCATATTTAAGATTTTTTCATTTCTTGCAATAAATTATTTTTATTTTTATAAATTCATAGGTGTCACGTTAAAAGTAGCAAATGGTCAACAGTTACAAGGATATTCTGTACAATTAGTTCAACATCAGGGTAGTGTAAAAGGTAAGGATGTTTTTTCTTGTGTGCCGTTTATGTGTTTACGTACATTTATATCTAAATCCTGGGAATCTGTGCATCATCGATCAGTGGTTGCACTCAAACTTATCATTGTGTAATCATTCTTGCAGTGATGCTAGAGAAATTGATCTTGGGCCAGCTTGTTTATAGTTCTCCCATATTATAAGCATTCTAGAACCGAGAGCACATTAACAAAACTTACATTTAATTATAATCTAACATTTGTGAATCACAGTTTGTGTAAAACATTTGTTGTGTTTGCTTCGAAAATAGCAATCCCTGTTGGAACACTAGCACATAACCCACAAAGTACAACAGTGACACCAACTACAGCAGCAACGAATGCACAGAGGATTACAGTAGGGAATACAAATATTATAGATGGACTGCAACGACTAGCAACGCAGACAGTTGCAGTTAAACAAGGTGATTCCGTCCAAAGAATAGCAATGCCTAATCTTGCACAAGTGGTTCAAACATCTATTGGTAGACATATCATTCTGACTTCGACTCAACAAAGTACTAACACAGGTGTGTCCTAAGAGTGCTCATATCCCACTGATTTCATTTATACTCCTTTATATTAAAAAAACGTGAATCATATATATCCTTTTTCATATCATTTGTATGCATTTAAATGAATGTTAAAGAATAATGTAAAATGCATGACTATGATATATCGTATTTACGCCGTATTAATAGGCAATACTTCTAATTTAGTAAATTGATGAATTGATTGAATTTATTTACAAAATGATTAATATTCTTTCGTATTTACAGTTTCATTTCCAGTAATGACTCCATGTGTGCCACGTTTGAAAGTTTTACCAAAATCATTAATGGGCCTATCTACCTCGGCAACTACAGTAAATAAAGTTATAGGAGGAGTGGTAACAACTACAAGTGGAACGAGTGGAAGACCTGTAATGAGAGTACCGCCACTTAATGTTACTACTCCTAATGTTACTGCACAGTCTCCCGCTGGGAATGGACAATCTCAGCAATCGATTCGATGTGGTATTGTTACTAGACACGCACAAAAGGAATCGGAAAAGGCACAAACAAAAGAACGTCCAAAATCGGAATTTTATTTGGTAATTATTTTAACTTTTGAGCAAGTTTGTAAATATTTGAGGGATTTAAAGACAAAAATTTTTGAATGTAATATCTCTTTATAGCCACAATTAGAAGAAGAACGGAAACAAAGAAGGCAAGCTAAACTTCGCCTGCTTGCAAATATTAATGAAAGACGATGTGCCGCGTGTCCTCTGTATGGAGAAGATTTGTTTACGGCGTTAAGAATTGGCAAACCATCTACAGCATGTCGATGGCACAATGGTTGGGTTCATTGTACAACTGCTAGAGACAGTGCACGTACACGAAGGCAATTTTTTTCTCGCACAGAAGCACTTGCAGAGGCAATTAAAAGTACAGAACAAATTGTCGAAGAATTGAAAGAAGTTTTTGAAAGGTATTACATATTGATAACAAAAATTTAATATTCTATTATTTCTTGAAATTGTTCAATCTTAACATAATACAATTTATGTTAGATTTGTTGTACACGTTCCTGCCGTGTGCGCTCCTACACCACGTTTTCACGTTTCTCATCCACCTCCGCATAAGTTATACAACCAACGACGTATGCAAATGGAATTACAACGGCAATTATCGCCAAAATTGGCATTGTTCCATCCAGTAACTGGTGCAATGATGACACAATTTCCGGATCCGAGATTGATACAATACGATTGTGGAAAATTACAATCTTTACATCAACTTCTTAGGAAGCTTAAATCTGAGAACCATAGAGTTTTAATTTTTACACAAATGACAAGAATGTTGGATGTATTAGAAGCCTTTCTTAATTTTCATGGACACATATATTTACGTTTGGATGGTACTACTAAAGTAGATCAACGACAGGTAATAATTCATTTATTATGAATATTATTTCTCTTAATTGTTCTCTGATTTAATTTATTTCATGGAAAAACTATAGGTTTTGATGGAAAGATTTAATGGAGACAAACGAATATTTTGTTTCATCTTATCAACGAGATCTGGAGGTGTAGGTGTCAATCTTACAGGAGCAGATACTGTTATATTTTATGATAGTGACTGGAATCCTACAATGGATGCCCAAGCACAAGATAGGTGTCACAGAATAGGTCAAACACGAGATGTACATATCTACAGGTATATACAAAAAATACAGTACATACATTTTATATTTTTAAATATATTTAATCAATTATTTTTCACACGTTTTAGGTTAGTAAGTGAAAAAACTGTGGAAGAAAATATTCTGAAAAAAGCCAATCAGAAGAGACTACTTGGAGACTTAGCTATCGAAGGTGGTAATTTTACAACCGCTTATTTCAAAAGTGTAAGTATTGTACGAGTGTGAAATAAAAAAATATATTTTAAAATATTTTCTTTTTGTATGTTTTAAAATATATTTATTTTTACAGTCTACGATTCAAGATCTATTTAATATTGATCAATCGGAGAACGATGCGACGACTCGTATGGCTGAAGTATTGGATCAAAACAGAGATCGAGAGAAATTCTTGCAAAAGGATAATCAAAGTCAAACTGTAGACGACAAAGTAGCGATGGGTGCATTAGAAAGCGCTCTTGCTGCTGCTGAAGAAGATCTTGATGTCCAAGCTGCAAAGACTGCTAAAGCAGAAGCTGTTGCTGATCTTGCGGAATTTGACGAAAATATACCTTTAGATGACGCAGATAGGGATGACATGCAAGTTAGCAAGGCTGAGCTTGAAGTGCAAAACTTGGTATCTCAGGTAAGATAATATTTATGTTGTAAATATTTTATTCAGTTAGCATTGTATAGCAATGGAATATTTGTTAAAAATTGCTTCTTTCTGTACATAGTTAACACCTATAGAACGTTATGCGATGAAGTTTGTCGAAGAATCAGAGGGTGCGTTTTCTGCGGCACAACTTGCAGCAGCTGAACGTGAACTTGAAGAACAGAAGAAAGAGTGGGAGTTAGATCGGTTACGAGCGCTACGCGAGGAAGAAGAAAGACGAATGCGGTTGGCTGATGATGACGAGAAACCTTTAACATTTGGACGCGAGGATGCGCAAAATCAGGTTAATAGTGCTAGTAATTCTAAGAAATTAGTCAATAAGAAACTCCCACCGAATAGGAGGAGGAATTCGCGTAAGAATATTAGTAAAAGTGTTCAAGAATCGGAAAGTGAAACTGAGACTACTACAGACTCAGAATCGGAGTCACAAGAAGATGTGGTAGAAGATAGTCTTGACGAAGAATCGAGTCACACAGAAAGTCAAAGTCAGGGTGATGAAGACGAGGAGGAGGAGACACACGATCAGAATGACTCTGAAAAAGGCGGGTATCCCAAACGTAAAAATCGTACTAATAAATCGTTTAGTCAAAATCACTTCGATTTGAATAGTCCGCGAACGAGATCTAGGGGAAATGTTAAAATTAATTTGTGGACACTGGACGTAAGTCCTATCTTGCCTGGTATAAAGCCGAAATGCCGAGGTAGAGCCAGTAATTTACGTAAACAGCGCGAGCTTGAAATGAGAATGAAAGCAGAGGAAAGTTTCATTTTACCTTTGCCACCAATTTCAAGTCCTAAGAAGTTAAATAATGCAAATATTTCGAATAAAACTGATGAAGAAGATAATATTACAGATCAAAAAGATACGGTGATAACACGTGATTTAAAATGTACTGATCCTGAACAAAGAACAATTCCGTCTGTTGATAAAGACCAATTTGAAGATGTTGAAAATTGTAAAGTAACTACAAATCATTGTCTCACTGAAACTTCTTCGTCAAATTCTAATTATAACAAAACTGTCACAGAAGAGTCTAATCCTGTCATTTCTTTAGATCATCTAGAAACAGAAGCATGTTCTCAATCAGATAATTCATCTGTCATGTTGGAACAGTATAAAAATTCAAAAGAAGATATAGTTAATAATAAAGTCGATAGTGAAGCAACGTCGGAGTTAACTGAGAATATTTCACCTTCAGTATACCTTACAGGATTAAATTGTAACGATGATTCCGAAAATTCTAATACTGATTTGATTTCACAAAATAGTAACTCTTATTCATCTACAACAGAATCGAATACAGTAAAAAGAGTTTCCGATTCGAAATGTACGAAAAGTTCTATGACTTTAGAAATAGACGAAGAAATTAATATATCGGAAAACTCATTAATTGCTCCCCTGAAGAATAAAATGATCGTTCAAGATGCAGATGAAAGTACTGTTGAATCTACAACAAAGAAATTGCACGATTCTCTTTGTAAGAGTAAAACAGTTTCATCTAGTATCGATGAATTAGATATGGAATTAAAAGAAGAATCGCTTTCTAACGCGGAATCGAAGATATTAGAAGATAATGATGTGAACGAACTCCAAGATACAAATGTTTCTGACGATGAATGTTGTGCAAAAAATGATGCGAGAGTACAGAGTCCTACTGAAATAAAAGAAAACGTGAATGTAGACGAAACTTTAACAAATAAGAAGCAACATAATGAAAATATTTCAAATTCAGATTTAACAAACAAGTCTACTGATAACGAACCCACTTCTGTGATAGAATCAACCTCTAGTCAGGAATCTAATAGCAGCAAACAAGAAGAAAACTGTACTAAATTAGAGAAATGTGTGCGCAAAGAAGATGATACAAAAATTCAGACGACCTCATCAATACGATGTAATAATCATAGTTTTCCTTTTAATACCTTCGGTTTAGACGAATCAAATGGATTTGAATCTAATACAGAAAGTAAGGTAAAATTTCGTAAACCAGATACAACATCTTGTGGCGTAACTACAAGAAGCGCGAAAGTAAACATTACCATAGAAACTCCTGAAAATAAAAACTTGGATACGCAATCATCCTCGATATTACTTAGTGAATCAGGTGAATCAAAAGAAAGTCAAGAAAGTGAAGGTTCCAATTCAACTTCAAATGTTTGTCGCAAAGAAGTTAATAAAGTAACGCAGATTCGAAGGCCCGACACGCCGCGACCAACGATAGAACATGGTAGGATTACAAGATCAAGTGCAACTCGTTCTTTAACACCTCCACTGAAATCAGTGCAAAGAAGACGACCAGACACTCCTTTGCCAGAATGTTTCAGATCTTCGCCACGACCAGCAACAAGATCTATGTCGAATTTCAGTTCACTGTTAAAAAATGAAGAACAAATGTCGCACGAAGTACCGTATGAAAAACCCACAACACGTAGCTCCAAGTCTTTGGATAATGGTTTCTTGAATCCAACTGTATTTCGAAGGAGTAGTTCAATACCACCGATGAAATCGACGCTTGAATCGAAAGATTCAGTAGGTGGTTCTGTATCAACCAGGTCTAAAAAAAGTAGCGAATCTACCAATACGAGTACAAATATAGGTAAACGGCAATCAGATACATCTGTTTCTATTTCTGAACAAGGATCGAGAGTCACTCGATCTGGATTAAATTTTACGTTAAATTCGGTGAAGAGTTCTAATCATGTGTCGAACAAAGGGAATAAACACGTCCGGAAAATAGATTCTTCCGATTCAAAATTACAGGACGATAAAGCTTCTGGTGTTTCGCCAGTATCTGGAAAAGCGGAAACATTCAATACGGATTCAAATGGAAACGCAGTTGTATCAGAAACACATTCGAAGCAAGATAATTCAACGTTATCCTCTTTCAATGAAATTAACGAGAGACCACAAAGGACTGCTAAAGTCGTTGCTATTCTTACTCTGGATACAAGGAGTAATCATACTAGTAAAGCTTCCAGCTCAGTTCACGCAAAATCCTCCAATTGCAATTCGTCTGATGCGAAAAATAATAAAAAAAACACCGATTCTAATTTCAATTCCACGTCTGACTCGTCAGCGAAAAATTGCGTTCTTCGAATATCGGATGTTACTTCAAATTGTAAAGTAGATGGGTGGTGTGATTCTGAACTAGACGCCGGTTCTCGAGATCGTGTCTCCAATGTATTCTCCAATGTAGCAAGTACTTACACCAATTCCAATAAAACAGGAAAGGCATCGACGATGAATAAAAGCGCATCATTGAATTCTAAGCTTAAAACAGATAAAGTTCCATTACCCGTACAATCAACGGTGATAGCATTGGTTGACTTGGATAATGATCCTAGTTACGACTCATCCGATGGATCAAAAAGGTTGAGAAGGAAGATTAAACGAACTCGGTTGTCATCGTTTGCAAAACCGTTGATAAGTGGAAAAACGAGTGAATCGCAAATAACCGATGTATTAGACAATGAAGAACAAATACCGCCAATGAAAAAGCTTATTCGTTCTCAGCTTACTCCTCCTCCTCCTCCTTCTTCGCAAAAAACTCAACTGGAAAAGCTAGGTAGCGGTACTATATCTTGAGTCTCGCTAAAACTTTATCGCTGTAATATTTAGCAGCGTGTTTGTATAAATACTTCTCATAATATAGACATTGTCTTAAACTACTATTACTTGGAATGGCGCGCGCGTAAGAGAATCCAAGTTCTAATTATTTCTTAATTTTCACATGATTCTTGTATATAATCACAAAAAGTAATGATAAATGAAGAATGTTTCTTTCGTTGTACTGAGAGTACGCACGTGTAACATTTTTAGCATTGTAAATTGTACTTTCTTGTAAAGATTTCAGATATCTTTAAGTGACAATGTAATTTATACTTGGTGATAAAAAGAAAAAAAAAACAGAAAAGATAAAGGAAGTAAAACATCCGACTGTATTATAATAGAATATATAGAGGAGAAAAAGATTCATTACAGCTTAGTTTATTAGTATACTATAAAAGTCTCGCTGCGATTTTGTAGCGATTGGTATAAACAAAAGAAATAGGCAGTCAAGTCAGAGGTAAAAAAAAAAAAAAAAAAAAAAGAAAAAAAAATGGAATTAATACTGTGAATGCGTCGTACTTTGCAAGGTGACGACCTGATTACATATTAGACTTAAGGAATTCTTCGTTTAATGGTATGCTCTACTGTAATATTTAAGTTGCGTGCCTGTATTTTGTATGATCGAGTGAGTCCGAAGAAGGAAATAAACAAAATATTCCTTGCTACGAAGATCATGTGTTTTCTTATTTCTTGGTGCGGATCCAAGTCTGTTCGATCAAAGGTTCAGTTCCGTTTTGGTGTCAAAATTTTGCTCAGTGTGCTTGGTTATACATACTGAGATCATTGAGAGTAATGATCTCGCGATGTTTTGGTGTGGCAAGGCTATCATGACCGCACATTAAAGGAAAGTTTTTTTTTGCAAGAATTAGATAATAGCATGCAGTAGAAAGCTCCAAATAATTATTTGAAAAATGGCACCAAAACACTGCCTTTGCCATTCCAAACTTGGAGTCAGCCAAGGTATAAGCAGGCACATTAATGAGCGTCTTGTACAGTATTTGATGTTTACGCGAGATTAAAATAATGAAATTCTCTCAGTAGAAAAATGAGCCTTTGAACGAGCAAAATGTATGTATACTTCCTACTTATTTCCTTCATGTTCCATCTTCAATCGTTGTAGCATTTATTCGATTGCGTTTAATAGAAGACGTATGAAGACATGTATAAAAAGAAGAAATCATTTTTTCCTCAAAATATTCGCCATATTTGAATGCATCAAAGTAAATGCCTTATACACGACGCTCGTTCTTCGTAAATTTTATTTTAAATCTTCTTGAAGCAAGCTTTTTATTTGTAACTTTTGTAATCTCATGGACGTACTTTAATATCTTGCAGATATGGTTGTCGGACGACAATGTGGAGCAAATGCCGGTTAGTATAAAAATTTTAATTTCTATTTTCATTTTCTGTTATTTATTTGTATTTTCATTTTTATCTATGGAAAATTTATTTTAATTAGATGTGGTGTCCTCCTACTCCTCCTACAACAGATAACGATGTTTATATCGATTATTCTTTGGGTTTTCTTTACGAAAATACTCCTATGTCAGAGGCACAATTACCTCCGGTATATATTAAAAAAGAACACAAAAGAAGTAGGATCGAATCTGGAATTAATGATAGAGATGGTAAGTAAATGTAAAATATATATAGACCCATTTAAGATACTTTATTTATATACATATGCAGTTAACATCTTTTTATATAATTGCATGTTAAATTACTTTCTTTGTTTTAAATATAGGACGACGAGCGGTTAAAATGCGACACAAGGAAGAATCTGTTTATGCACCAAGATCTTTATTTGATCGGCCTTCACCAGCACTTATGAAAATACGTCGCGATATGAAATTACATAAATACCGCTTAGTTCGACCGTCAATTCCACTGCCGGGTATAAAGCCGTCGCATATGTCAAAGTCTTCCACAGACCAAGAACACGTTTTAGATTGGATGATACACGAAGATTGGGCCCTTCTCCAAGCGATTCAGATTTATCAAGGATTGCCATTGAATTTGATGATTCTATCTCCTGGTCATACTCCTAATTGGGATCTGGTTGCGGATATAGTTAATAATACTTCTCGAATATATAGATCTCCCAAACAATGTAGAAGCAGATACGAATCGGTAATAGTACCAAGAGAAGAAGGAAAGTTACTTTACGATACCACACCGAAAAAGCAAAAAAAACAAAAAGGGGTTTATAAAATGCCTCAGGTTTCCGAGGTATATCGAGATATTTTTATTCTACATTTGACGAGAGATGTCTACTGGAAAGAAATTATCATTTTTTTAATCGTCTTCTTTTAGCAACAAAGTAAAACAAACAGGCCAATGAAAACGTCTCAATTATATAATCAGGATAAAAATCATTCGTTTACATTAATGTGTTGTCAGAGATTTGATACCATTAAATCTGTTTCGAATAAGAGAACGCCTACTGTTAAACCGTTACTCGTTAATCCATTAATGAAAAATCCTACCAACGCTGCAGTTTTAGCTGAATGTGGTATTCAGTACGATAACCCATTAGCTCCTATAGAAGTTGCAACACGACGCGCCGATAGGATCGCAAAAGAAAAGCTTAAACATGCAGTCAGTATAACAAAGTGTAATCTTTTAGTCATCGAATTTTCTAAACGTTTGGAAATATTATTGAATATTTAATATTCAGGTTTTATCAGCGGAGCAACAACAACAAGTAGCAGCTCGTTTATTACAGCAACAGCAGCAACAACAACAGCAGCAGCAGCAACAACAACAACAGGTTCAACAACAGCAGCAAATAAAATTACAACAGCAACAGCAAGCTCAACAAAATATTTCAAATACCACAAGTCCTCCAGTGCATCAACTAACACAAGTTGCGACCACTGTCACAACAGGGCTGACTACAATGAAGACCATTACCACAATTACTAATGTTACTACGGGTGGTACGACAATTGCTACATCAACGGTTAAAGCCCGACCAGGAGGAACGTTAACTATGCAGGATGCACGGACCACACCAACTGTTGTTAGTGTTGGTAATCTTCAAGCAGCTCAAAGAATTGCAACAGCAAGTTTAGTGTCTGCTGCGCAAAGTTCACCTGCAATTACGCAGAAGGGTATTGGAGTTACCGTGGCGACAACTTCGGGTAATAAAACGTTAACTGCGGCTCAATTGCAATATTATCGGCAACAGCAAGTTCTATTACGACAGCAACAATTGAAAGTACTGCAGGCACAAGCTGCTGCAAACGGTCAAAAGGTATCGGTAGCTGTTTCAGCTGCTGCTGCACAACAAAGAGCTACATTGATGAAGCAGAATATAACTGCTGGCACCGCTGCTGCACAAGCATCTGTTGGAAAGCAAACGATAGCACGTACGGTGTCGGAGACAGAAATGGCTGCTTTAATAAAACGCCAAGCTCTGCAGCAACAGGCAAAAGCGGTGGCTCAAGTGCAGGTACCTGCACAGGCTGGACTTACTCCAGCTCAAATATTCGCTCAGGCAGGTTTGCAAGTACAACATGCGGGAACGTCAGCTGGTGGAACTCCAGTTGCTACTTTAGTAAAAACTGCAAACGTTGCCAGTGTAAGAACAGCAACGCCTCAACAAATCCGTCAACTCGCTCTTCACCCTCAAATTATCACCCAAAGAAAATTGCCGGCGCAGAAAGTTGCACAACTAACACAAGTTGCTGCGAAAACTGGTGTTCAGACTCAATTGATTGTGCAACAGAAATCATTACCTGCGACGATGACCGTGCAGCAGATTCAACAAGTTATGAAACACGTTCAACCATCAGCGATGCAACAATTCACTCATGTACGTTGTATATTATACGTTGTATATTATATTGTTCATTTTTTTTTTTCATTTTTAAAATGAAATATTATTGATTTTAGGTTTCTACAGGACAGGCAGTTTCTCAGCCTGGCCAAGTAGTTTTAGCAAAATCTCCGTTACAAACGAGAGTAATTCCGGTCGCACCCTCTGCTTTGAAACAGACGATCCAAGTTATGACTGCAAGTAGTGCTCAATTGCGCCAAGCTGCACCTGCTCAAGGTAAACCTGTTGTTACAGCTGCAAGAGGTAGTCCCGGACCTAGTCAAGTCAAATTACAAACTCTTGCACATCCCATTCATCCTCAGCAAGTACAACAGCAACAGCAACAACAGCAATCACAAACTCAGCCAGATACTCAACCGAAGTGAATATGTTTTATTACATGAAACATTTAAATTTATTATGTGTTACAAATTTTTCTACTTCAAATCAAAATAGAAGTTTCATTTGAGAAACTAATTTATTAATAAATGAATGATGACACATTCCAAAAGGCAACATTGCAAATATTTAGCCCTCATCCGTTTCTTATTTTTTAAATTTAATTTGTCCTCTGATGTTAAATTAATAATTTACAACAATTATTAATATCTGCAATGGAAAAATAAGTAACTAAATTTCAAAATTATTTTATTGCTAATAAATAGGGATTTGAAAAAAGTGTTGTTGTTTTCAATCATTCATCTTACCGTCTTATATTTTATTATCAAAAATGTTGTTAGAAATATCTATATAATAAACGTTTTATAAAAAAAATGTCAGATTGAAACAAGAGACGGATGAAGATTAACTATAATTAATTCGATGTTGTAACTGTTTTTTCGGTTGAGACAGCACACAATTGAAATGTTCGTATAAAAAATAATATCTTTATGTTTGTATCATTAGGTTTCTTTCTTTTTTTTTTTATTTTAATTTTACCTAAAAAATAAAAAAAGTTATACAGAAAACTACCAATCCTCAATGATTTGTAATTAAATTTCACTTGAAGGTTTTAATTTAAAAAAAGAAAATTATTTTTGTTGGCTATATTTTATTCCTTGTTTTTTTTTATAAACAGAATGGAACGATGAATATCAATACTTCTAATAAATATATAAAGTATAACGCTTTTTTGATAAGTTTTTGTAAAATAAAAATCTTAAAATTATGGGATCCGTACGTTCCATTAATTTATCATTGAGAATTGGTTACAACTGCGGATGTTTATGATCTTGAAATATGTTGAAATATGTAAATAACATATGTAAAATTTGGAAGTACATATGCAAGAAATATATGATATATCCATTAAGTATATTGAAATATATAATAATAATAACTTTATTTGTTATTAAAAATTCATAATAATTAATATTATTAATTATAATTCAAATTACAATAGACTAAATATTTATTATTTTAAATTAATTTATGGAGAGAAAATGATCGCTGATGTAACGATGTATTTGGATTTATTTCAATAGTGATCTTCAATTTCTATTGGAAGTCAATGATGTTACTTCGCCAACTCATATTTACCAAACTATTGCTTGTACATGTCAATATAAAATTCATTCTTTTTTGTCACAATTTGTTCTTTTTTCTGATATTTCATATTGTTTCGTAATTTTATTTCTATGAGAGTATTTAAATATTGTTTTAATTACGCTTTCTTGTTACAATGTATCTTTTTTTCACTTCATACTTTATAGATTCTCCATCATTCACAAAACTGTTATTTCCTATTCCATCAATCCAATCTTCTACTAATCACATTAAATATAACGATTTGACGAACTTTTGATTTAATTTATAAGAAGTTAATTTGAAAATTCAGTAATTAATATCGAATTTCAGAAGTATAAATAATAAATATAAATGACATGTGCAGTATACTTTTGCATATACATTTAAAAAGATACATGCAAAATGTAATATGAAGATAATATGAAATATGCAAAATAAAAATTGTATATTTGAAATTACAAAACAAATTTCTGTTCCGGTCCCTATATTGTCTTTTGACAAAAATATACATTTGCATAAACATCCGCAGTCTAGTTATAACTTGGTGCAAATGATATTTGAAATGAATATTTCAATTTGATCAGTATTGAGATATTCCGGTTTTGTTATGATATATTGCCTTTCAAAATTTGCTGATCGAATTTGTGAATATAATATTAAGGAATTTGTGCGCTACTAATTTTTGCGAATTATGACGTTGTCTTGAACATTTACAAAAGCTAAAAAAAAAAATTATAAAATTACAAATGGGATAAAAATTATAAAAATTATAAAATTACAAGTGGGATATACAGAAATGGTAGGATGTAATACGAAAGAACAGCTTAATTTTCTAATTTCATCAAAACTAATATCAACGCGAATTGAATGTGTTTTGCATATTAGGATCTGTCAAAGATCTTAACGAATTAATTTATATTAAAGGCATGCGATTCTGTTTTAATGCATCATTTTGAGAGAAATAAATAATTTATGATATCCTGATCGCTATTAAGATGTATTTTTCTTGAATTGAAAAAACTAATAAATTTCGAAAACAATTTTGAAAAAAACTTACACAGGAAGAGAGTAATTACGAAGCTACGACTGTATATGTATCTATAGTTACCTGTAGGATTTAAAAATCATTCGATGATGCGATGTTTATACTAGGATCTTCATAGAATTGTAAGATTGTACTAATAATATATATATAAATATGTATAATTCGTGTATCATAGAAGCTGAAATAAATCTGTCATAAGGAATTTTGTCTATTGTCTGTATGTATACGTTGTATTTTATATTTCGTATAACATTAAGGATTTTGGAATACTGCGTTCTATGAACTCAATTTATTTGAACGAAAATTTTATGTAATATCCGGTTAAATGAACTCATCATAAGCTTTGTGGCAGACGAAAAATCATAGGTAATCGAGAGAACGAGTGAACTGCTCTATTACATGAATTCGAATTACATAAACTAATTGTCCTCAACCTTGAAGTGAGTTACATATTGCATCAAAAGTTTTGTTCTTGCTATTACGTACGAGTGTAAGTAGAGTGTAATAGATGATAATAATGATTTATTATTGTTTGTTCTGGCGCCCTCCGAGGCGTCAGTCAGGTCAATTCCTACAAAGCCTCGGCCCTGCCGAAAATTGCCAGATGTGCTAACATACCTCTTATCTAAGGACACTTTCTCTGGCCTTGGAGAGAGAGACAGTATGTGGAAAGGCTCGGTAGGGCATAAACAAAGCCTTGTCTAGGAAACAAGGCGCTTTGGCCGGCTACAGAAAGTCGCCTACCAATTCTAAAGGCGACGTAGATTCACGTAGCAAACAGACGATTAAAGGGAGTCACGTAGACTACTCAATGAGTCACAAGCAATCCGTCCGAGGACTAACTCCNGCGTCAGTTATACATTCATTTTCATTTACACCAAATCAGTCAGAGGAGTGATTCCGCGTCGGTCACTCATTCACTCACTCAATTCAGTCACTTTGTATTAGTTGAGAAATAAAAGTATTTATTCCATATAACGTCTCATTCATTCCATAAAACATCTCTCCGGAGGCTGTAAAAGGCACGACGAGAAAGCGACGAGCGAGGTGAACATTGTTATAAGAGTGTAATTAACATTTTAAATAATCAACGGTCAATATAATATTTGGTTGAACTTGAATCCTCTCTGTTTTAAAAGTTAAAATTAAAAGTTAGCATAATTTTTATAAATATAAATAACAAATTTTTATCCTGTCTTATCAGAGTGTCATCTGCCAATATAGATAAAATTAATAATTTTTAATATTTATAGTGGATAACAAAAGTAAATAGACATAAATTTTCAATAGGAAAATGATGATAATAATTAAGCAATTTTAAAATTATTATACAAAGTTATAGGAAGATACGATTTTATCTTCCAGCAATGCACCTGTTCACAGACTGAGAATTGTGATAGTGAATTATGTAAGAAATCAATCGTTTGAAAAATTGGATCACCACAGATTTCGAGAATAGTCGAAAATATTAATTGTGAAATATGAAACGTTTGTTACGAAAAATTTATTAAGAAAAATTTAAAAGGTATGCACGAATGTTACAAAGGAAAAATTATTATTATAGAATTATTTTTATTTATCATCATTTTACTACAAAAAATTTGAATGTTTTCTTATTTTCATAATCCACTGTTTTAATTTTATCGTATCTTATCTATAATTTTATAAGTGAAGGAAATGTTTGCACAAAGTACACAGTCACTATGATAATTTTGCTATCGTTTGATAATTACGTTTACAATTATCATGCAAATGCTAAAAATTAAATAAATGAACTTCCTTATTTGTATTCTTTCAGCAAGATCCTGATGATTTTAATATTATAATATTATAACTTTAATATTTTTGCAAGAATTGCTCTTACTTTTTTATAAATATTCTCTTCTAGCATTATTATCAAATGTTTTCGCAATACAAATTATCGGTAAACATTTTTCAGAGATAACTCGTGTAACGATTATATATATTAAGACGCGTTCAAGTTTATTCAGTATCTCGAAAAAGCTGAAGAAGTATTAAGTTTTAAAATAATGATAGTGCTAAACTTTCGGTTTGTGAATCTTGTTTTTGCGGTTATCACCCTTGGGACACTTCTGTTTTTATTTCTAAAATATAAGCGTACCTACTGGCAAAGAAAAGGTGTACCTACTTTACCTAGTCATTGGCTGTTTGGTAATATAAAAGATATAATACAATTGAAAAAGTCTCCCGGCTTGGTGATCGGTGAACTACACCAGAAAGCTTCTAACAACGACGATATTCTTGGAATCTATATTCTACACAAGCCATTCTTACTACTGAGAAATGCAGAGTTAATCAAACAGATTTTAATCAAAGATTTCAATTACTTTCCGGATCGCTATTTCACGGCCCAATCGCTTCGAGATAAAATTGGAAGCTCTAATCTCTTCACGATCCACAATCCAGAATGGAGAAACTTGAGGTATATATATATATATATATATATATATATATATATATATATATATATATAAAAAAATATATATATATATATATATATATATATATATATATATATATATATATATATACATGTATGTATATGTAAGAACAATAGTCTTCGTGTGCAGATTTCGTATACAGTAATGGACAAAAGAAATTTTGCAATAATCTGTCGAGTATTATAATATAATATTGTCATACGTATTATATGTATCGAGTAATTACGTTGAGTGTTAAATATTGTACTTTTTTGAGGTACATTTTACATTTATTCGTTGCTCGTCGAATTCTATGTCACAAAAATATGATATATATTTTTTCCCCCGATTTGTATTATAAAGAAAGAATCTATAAAAAGTCAAAGCAACTCGACTCCACCTGCATTGGGTTTCACTGTACGTGATGAAAATCGATAGATACACCGATCGATTCATTTTACCGGAGTTAGCGACCGTCTGCATAATCCAATACTCCTCGTCTATCTCTCGCTCGAGGTCCGCCAGCCTTTTCACTATGCCGATGCTCTCCTCCCTGGCCCGATATATCAAGTACTTGATGATCCGCGCCATCAGCCAGCTCGGTAGCGCTTCGTAGTAGTTCTCCTCGTTCAGCACCTTGCTCGCGTAATGACAAACGCTCTGGATCGCCGGACATTTGTCCAAACTCTGCTTCGACAACGTTCTCACGCTGGCCAGCATTTTGTGATAGCTGAGCGAGTAAATAGCTCTTCGCTTGCCCTCCTCGGCCGCCGCGTTGAAAAGCGACACGAATCTCGAGTGCTCGGTGATCGTCTCGGCCATCATGGTCACCATGCACCACCACTCGTCGTCGTTGATCGAGATCGCCTCCAACGGCTCGCGCCACGCGTCCTCGTCCACCTGCTTCCTCCCTTTGCTCGAGATCTCCGATCTCGCAGTTTTCTCCGTCCTTCGCATCCTTGGTTATTGGCATTTAGTTTCGTTAACCTCAATTTTCTTTCTTTCCTTTTTTTTTTTTTCACGCGACACGTTTCGCGCGAGTGTGATCAATCGATCATCGAATAATTGTCGATGCACCATATGCGAAATTGTAGTAACTTCAAATTGAATCAGTTGATTTTAGAATTTTCAATTTCGTTGAATTTTATTACCAATCTCTTCCCCTGCTCGAAGTCTCAGATTCTGCCGTTTCCTTTTCTCTTCGCTGGTAAACTTTTTTGATATGTTAACCATAATTTTGATTGATCCCCGAACATTCAAGCTAGAATAAAATTAGTATAAATTATATTATACATTACCAAAGTATATATACAGGGTGTTACGTAACTTGTAGGACTCACCTCGGCAGCTAATTGTATGCCTAAAAATAATGAAAAAGAGTCATATAAATATATGTCCTATCCATGTTCGTTTATGACATATAATGCATTTTATAAACAGAACAAACTCTCTATCCTTTCTCTCCATAGACCGCAATAGTTGATACCGCACATATGATACCTGATAAATTATTACTAAAATATATTTTTATTATAAAACTTTAATTATATTAAATTAAAATTTTATATCTATAATAAGTTTATGTATTTGTTCGTGTAATTGGACGTAACGTGTGCGGAAGTTTTTCTATGGCACGTTTGGAAAAAGAAAGAGAGAATTTTTATTTTTATTCGGTTCCTTTCATCAAAATTCATGCAACGAATATGATAAATGTAGCAAATGTAGTTGATTAATGTATATAATGTATATAATGTAATAATTAAGTTATTATATTTGTTATACGTTGATTAATACATTTAATATATATTTATTGTAATCAATATATTTAATAAATGTAACTTTAAATACTGCGAGCAGCAAAAACCATAATTGAAAACAAATATCGTAATAAATAAATATATTAATTATTTTTAAATAAATACAATTAAACGGACACCGTTGCAAATTTCGCAATATCGCGTATCATTTACTCCGGACGAACGACGTAGAAAAACTTGTGCATTTGAGAGTCAGATTTGTACGTACGAGTAATTGTAATTATACTTACATTTATCCGTGAATATTCGTTTTTAATTCTACGATTTTTGCTGTGTATTTATCAACGAAAGAAACCAGCGACTGAACAAACACGTGTAATTAATTTAAATAAAACAACACTATGAACTTTGACATTTACAAAATTTTGAACTGCACAAAATTGCATATTTGGGAATGAAATGGCTGAAGTAATAACGCTTTCTACAACCAAGATTCTCGAAAATGTGATTTTGTACAAAAATACATTCCGATATTCTATAATTAACAGCTCGTATCGACAGGTCGTTCTTTTCTTCCAAAATCAGCATTAATAATAGAACTAAAAATATAAAGTAGTCGAAATGACCAATTTGTAATTGGTTGATTCGAGAAACACCAGGAATGATAGAGAGAGTAACCAGATCAATGATAGGACGCTTGCGGGCTTGTTTTCAAATGCAAGGTGGTCACTTCTTTTGTAAAAGTAATTAAAACAGACAATTCATTATATCTCATAAACGGAGACAGACAGGACATATATTTATATGACTTTTTTTCGTTATTTTTAAGCGTACAATCAGCTCCCGAAGTGGGTTCCGCATGTTACGGAATACCGTGTATATGTGGGATCTTTAACTTTCAAGTTAAACACATAGATTCGAATTTTCAATCGGTGAGAAACTATTTTCTGTAAATTTATAATCTTTCAACGACCGTAAGAACTCTGCGCCCCCTGAATAAATCGCGGGGCTTTTTCACCGGGTTTGGAAAACAAAAAGGAGAAAAAAATGTCGTCACATAAATTTCTTGCATCGATTCGGGGAACGCGGCGAACGTTCGCGCTGGCCGTGCGATTGGATGAAAGAGGGAGGGATGGAGTCGATTTTAGCGCAGTTTAGACAACGTTTTGTCACTCTTGCGTCGCGCCGTTTACAGCTTGACACGCCGTGTAAATCAGCTTTAAATCAAGCTGACGCGGACGAGAGGAGACCGAAAATGAAACCCGAACTGTCCGAAAACCGGAAGCCGTCATGTTCACACTGGCCAGCGTTGAACCACCTGCCAACGACACGCGCGCGCGTCACACCCGAAAGTGTACAATCGCGTATTTTTCTTACAGTTTGTCACGCAGCTTTCCACTGTGAAAGGGGAGAGAAATTCAATTCCTTATTCGTTCGGGCGCGAAAATTTCGCAACGCGTCGGTGGAATTTCAATCGAGGCGAAAAAAGAAAATTCACTCGAATAACCCTGATGCTTTATTTCGACTTTTATTTTTATTCAAGTTAAATGACTTTTATTTTTCGTTCAAGTTAAATTATAACAACAAGCGAGGTTTGCGTGAAATTTCGAACAATGAATCGACATAATAAATGTAGACAGAGGAACAAGGAGGAATAACATTATTTATTATTTCGTTAATTTTGTTATTTCGCACGTTCTCCCGTGCGAATTTTCATTTCAGTTTCAATTTCAAGTTCGCGTTCTTCACTGAATTAATTTCGGCTGCGACAGTTTGCCTTTTATCGAACGGATAAGAAGAGCTGTTTCCACCGGCAATTAATTTGCAAAATTTACCGTACCACAGTCACAAATCCATACACGTGCTTGCGAAAGCTGCAGCGAAAGTAGCTCGCCCGCGCGTGTTTAATCTTGCCACCAGACCCGCGTGTACTAATATGCTCGCTCTCGCACGGTGAAACATAAAATATTATTTCGCATTTTTATTCGGCGCGCTGTGTGTGCGTATCGTTGTCACTTTATTTTACGTTCGTTACTGCGGCAACCAAGTTTTTCAGCCGCGCTTGCACCGCCTCTGTAATCCAATTAACATACGGTAAGGCGCGGAGACTAAATGGCTCGTCATTGCTCGAATTAGAATGGACCGATTATTTTTAATGCATCTGCAGTTATTAATCTTCGTACCAGATTGTACGATATACATTTATTTATTTATTTATTTTTTTCTCGTGGAAGATCCAGACTTGAAATTGAATGACACTCTACACTTTTCTTGAGGAAATAGAAATTTTCTTGAAACAATCGTCGTCTTATTATATATGTATTTTATTATGAATAGATATTTATTTATATTTATAGATATTAATATTAATAATAGATATTATTTAATATTATTCAATATTAATGTCTATATTATTTATAGATATTAATATTAAATTAGATATTATTTATACTTATAGATATTGAAGTTAATATTAATAATCAAATTAAATTTATAAATTCATTTCATTTAAGTAATTTGTAGATAGTGTGTTCATATAAATATTTAAATTATTACGTTAAAGTTTCTCGTGGTCGAAAACGATTGTTGTGTGAAATTCGAAGTTTAATTATCTTGATGTTATAACAAGAAAGAGAGAGCAAGCAGAAAGAACATAAGTAATACGCAATTATATATTTCAAGTACAGAATTCATTTACACGACTGAAATATGAAATTTGTAGCAGGTGAAGTGAAATTTATACTGCAGTTTATAATTTTATTTGTATGTTTCACTAAAAATCGTTCAAGTCTCTAAAAAGTGTACAACTCTTGTATACGAATATACAATGGTATAATGTTGGTATTTCATCGTTCTGTTAGTGTAGAGTACAATAATTTAGACAACAAGAAATATACTGAAATACTTTTCAACGTCATAACGCTTCCATATAATATAAATAATCAGAAATGACTGTGAGAGGATCTTCAACATTGTTCGAAATAAGAATCATCTGAATCAATTAAAAAACATACGACGAAAAGAAAGCACCGTGGATCAATTTTTCGATAAATATCCGACTCCGAAATTTATTTTGATTTTTCATTTAATTTTGAACTGAGTGAGTAATAAATATTCCATCAATAAAAAACGTACGATGGTACGTGTACTCTTGCTCGAATCGGGACACAGACGTTTCTCGAACAGACCGCCAATCGCCAGTGGGTGAAAACTGGTGAAATACCGCGTTCATTAATTAATTTTCCCCGATGAAATGTCCGGACGATACGTCAAGCTGGCCCCGGATCTCGCGACAGTTTTGTTAATGGAGAACGTTTCCCTCGCGTAGCGGATCCATTAAAAACAGGTCGCGGGAATTAAATGAAAAGAACACCGGCGCCGCTGTCTTTTCCCATCTGGACCGAACGACAAACGCGGGCAAACGCTCGCGTACAATCACAGAGCCGATGTGCCTCGCAACGATTATGAAAATGGCTGGCTGTCGCGAGCCGTCCCGACTGCGAGTTCCCGAGTTAAAAAGAAACGGGAGAAAAAAATAGCCGCGTAAACTGATGATGATGATGATGACGACGACGACGACGATAATGATGATGATGATGACGATGATTATCCACTCGGTGATTAGGAAATTGAAGACCGGGACTTTTGTATAATAGAATCGCACTCGGTGACACGGAGAGCTTTTCAATTTCGATTTTTGTGGAAATCTGACGGTTATTGCACGTGTTCGTAGAATGGCGGCGTTGAAACTTGGATGAATCTAGTTAATTAGTAACAATTTCTGCAGAAAGTTTCTCCATTTCTTTTCCCCATTTATTATTATTACTCGAGAAAGAGAGAGAGAGAGAGAGAGAGAGAGAGAATTCACCAACAGTGAAGCGTAAAAACAACTTTGAAGCTACGAGGAGAGTCTTTGTGGAATTTCAGTAATGTTTATCTAAAATTCCAGAGAGTGTAATTACTTTTTAACGTACGCGAAATGTTCGGCTACCACTGGCGAAGAATGCCGTTGGCGAAGAACTTTGAAAGGTTTGATTTATTCGAGGTTGAAACTCACGTGCGGTTAAACAAAATTTTTCACTACTTTTTGAAACGTGCGCACAGTGACATAAAGACTCGCGCACGTGCCACGGGAAATTGGCGCTTGCCATAAAAATATCTTGAAATTCGAAGGTATACGCGTAAAATGCGATAACATCGCTCGCGAAAAATATTTCAAATTCCTTTTTTTTTTTTTTTCCTTTTTTTTCCTGAGCACGCACGAAGTTCCATACATTTGTAACGGGATTACGCATGGGAAAAGCGCACAGATTAAGCAAAATGTGAAATTCCCTTCTTTAAACATGTATGCGATGGGAATCAAAGCGAGAAAAAGAGAAAGAGAGAGAGAGAGAGGGAGAGAATAGCGCTTTAAAAGCTCCAGAAATATTTATCCGCTTGAAATTCAAGAGCTCGAGCGTAGAACGAACGAACTCGTTGTTGAAACGAGATCTCGAGTTCTCCTTCTTTTTTTTTTTTTCTCTCTCAAACACGCGCGAACTATTAATTACATGCAACACGATTAAACAAAAATCTTTCCGCTCTTTTTCAAACGCGCTGAAAGAGGATCGTCTGGGAATACTTCGAAAAATATGTAAATTCCGCTTGTGCGCGCGCGCGCCCATGCGGAATTCGAGAGTCGCGTGGATAAAATAATATTAATCGCGGAAACTTTATTCCAGGTTGG